GATGTGAGTGTCAAGGCAATTTTTGTAGCAGTAAAGTGTTTGGAGACGCTGTAGGATGCGTTGATCTTTTTGCAAAAATCTGGTTGGTCTAATAAAAGATATCACCTCTACCATGAGTCCTGATTGCTTTTAGATAAGACATACAAAATTCTTCTACTTAGATGATAATTTTTTGGGGGCATGTGCTTAAGCTTTTGGGGGCAGGCGCTCTCTGTTTCACTGTGCTCCTATGGTGCATAAACCCATAAGGCTCTGGTTCCTGATTGAGGCACTCCTAGGTGCGATCACAGTATAAATAAATAAAAAAACATGGCGTAGTGATATTGGAAGCTGTGCAATGATTTGAAAAACCAAACCAAGCCTGCAGACCTGTGAGACTGGATCTTCTTCTAGAAAGAAGCTGTCAATCAGCCCTTGGAGCAATAAGCAAACGTGTTATTCAGAAACCACCCATAAGTAGGGCCAAGTTTGCAGCAAACATACATCAGTGCAACTCGGCAACAGCCTTAAACGTTAGCAGCAGTCGGGCAGCTCAGCCCCTGTGGACCCAGATGAAAATCTAGGCCGTGGGACTGCCTGATGAGTCGCAGATATGGTGCATTTGATGGAGGTTACAGTAGCCACAAACCCCTTCAGCATATGTAAAAGCTTTGCTTTGGGTTTTTTAAATGTTATTTTTATAGCAAACATATTTAAAGTACCTGCTTAATGTTTTACACGAAACATAAATCATGTGGGAGAAATAAATACATTGGCTACAACACAGGTTGTTTTGTAGCTTCTACATTTCTTAAGTGTTAGGTCATTTTACTTACAAGTTAAATAGCTGTCTGCAAGAGGCCTTGCTTGGCCATAAATTGTCCTTCCAATAATATAAAACATGCCATTTATTTATAACCCGTAGGCTCTTCCAAGTAGATCCAACTGCCCGTAAAGAACCAGAGCTCCTATGTCATCTCTGCTGAGACCATTGCAATAACGAGGCTGCTGGAATGACTCTGTACTCAGTAAATGTGTAATAAGATCCAGCAACAGTAGCTTTGATGGGCTTTTTCTCCCCACCTCCATGGACAACAATAAATATGAGTACAAATTCAAAGGGTTGCGATGGCCTTATGTTGAGTAGGATCTTATTTCTCGCCCGGTGCCGTGGATTTCCAAATGGGTAATGCATTCCTCACCTGAAGATCATATTTGTCATGGAGGTGACTGATTCAAATGAATGATAGTTAAAAAGTATGAAGCTCCCACATTTATTATTTAGTATGTACTCAAAAGCGCCTGATGCCAGTTTTGCCCAAACACATGGCTCTAAATGGACCTCTGTTGTCGCAAAAGGATTATCACTTTCTGTGTTTACAGTTCTGTACAAGGGGCTTTTTGAGCAACACAGACACCCACTGTACTACATAGTCCAGGATGCTCAAGCAATAAAAATGTGCAAGTTACTCCGATGGGCATCAGGGAAGCGCTAGCTCCAGTTCAGAGCAATGCAAAGTTTCTTATATGAGCAGAGATGGGGCCTAATTAAACCCTGCCTCCAAAGTCTCCCAGATTTGATGGAAATTTACATCTGGATTAGGATCTCAGCTGGGCAGCTTGAACCCACCTCTAAGTGTTAAATAACTAGGAAAGCCATGTGAGCTAGGCACCTTTGAGGAGACTGGCCGTAGCCCCTATCTTGAAGACCATTGAAGTCAATGGAAAAACTCCCTAAAGAAGAGATCAGGCCTTAAAGTGGAAAGAAAAAACAACAGTTATCAAAGTCTAAACAATTCCCTTTTCTTAACAAAAAAAGACACCTTTTAATGTGACTTTGGTCATTCTGGATTAGTAGAGAGTAGTGTGAGAGACACCCGCTGGGATCTTAGGGCTAGTAGGACTGGCAACAGGTCAATCAGGCCTTTGTCTTTTGGATGCTTGTTCAAATCTATCCCACACTGACTAGGTCTGGACAAAATACATTAAAACTCAGAAGGCCCTTTAGCCTTTGGCTGCAGTTATATCAGTTGTGCCTAAGGGGAAATGTAAAGGTTTCAAGGCTTTGGCTGAAACCCTTGCGCTTCAAGGTTGGGGAAACAGCAACCCATGGCCGTTTTCATCTCAGAGGATGGAGAACAGCGTGATAACTTGGCACAGTCATTTCATAGCAAGGAAGGATTTATTGCAATGCAGTCGTCTCTCACAGCTCCCTTTTGGACCGAGAGGACACTACGCTCTTCCTGCTTGCTTAAGGCCTGCTCTGGCAGCTGTTGAAATCAAAGGAGTTTGTCCTGGAGTTAGACCACTTGAGTCGCCTGTCCTCGCATTTCTGATACGTTTTACAGAACATCAGTCGAGTTTATTGCTGCCTAAAATCTTCACTGCAACCCTAACCTTAAAACATCTGCATAAAAGGTGATAAATGGCTCCACTCGCACTCGAGAGGCCCTGTAAAGCTCTAGCTCTTACTCACATGACCCCGCCGCTGTGTGATCAAGACAAAAGCAGCCCTCAAGAGGACGAGCCCGTGAGCATTGAAACCTGGAGTCTTTCTGTTCCCTTCAGTGGGCATCAGGCCAGGGCTGAATTTGACCTGGATAGATGCATCTTCTGCTCAGGATATCAGAGAGGAAGCCGACATTTTGGCTGCCTACTCACCACATCAAAAGGCATCCATGTACTCTTAAGTCACCCCCACCATGTTTCATCCCACCTGTGCTACAGCACTGATAGCTCCTGTCTCTCCTTCCACCTTAACAGGCATTTGTCCAGTTTCCCAACAAGCCCCTTCATGCTACATGTAGATCCTAGAAAGGCACCGCGCTGCCCTCCTCCAAAGTTATATCAATTGTGCCTAACCATATCCTTCTTTCAACTCACCTGTACCACGACGCCTACAAAACCAGTCGGTAATGGGTAGGCAACTGGTGTGCAGGGAGTGCTGTTTTGCACGCTGATCACAACACACTCACTCATGCTCCGTGAATGGTTGCATCCACTGGTGGGTGCTCGTGGCGTACTTAGCCTGCAAGTTCCTCAAGGCAGAGACCATCATTTTCTTACATCTAGCACCAGAAGGTCCGCTTTCTTGGTGACACCCCAGCCCCCCCCAACAATGACAGACAAAGTTATGAAAAAAAATTACTTTTTAATGTACAAAAGGCTTATATACAGGTTCAGCATGTTACCTCTGGTTCTTATGATGTAGAAAACAGCTAAAAATGTTCTGGAGATATAAATCTGACAGAACAATTCACCTATGGTACTCTTAGTAATGATGTCTTCTATACATAATATATACAGTGCTGGAACAGTTATTATAATACTATTTTAGTAAATGAAGGAAGACCACCACTGAAAAGCCAGAGAAATCTCAAAGTCATTGGAGATTTGGTTTTGCTTTTAGGTTTGATCTTTTCTTGCTGTACAAACTGGGGCTTGCTAACAATCGCTCCTGCATCCATCGGCCAAATAAATCAAACAGCCGATGGAGATGCAAAGACCCAATCCATCTCAGCACAAGGGATGGGGATGCCTGAAACTTCCTCCCAGTGCCCAGTACAGCACACCGAGTCCTAAAATGCACCGCAAATGCAAGGGCGAGGACAAGGTGAGTAACAGCCAGAGAATACGTGCAGTGAACAAAACCACAACCCTTTTAAAGTCATCTTTCAAGCAGACGTGAGTCGCTCCATCTATCCCGCTTGATCTTGCTTTCCTAGCGTGCCCTGAACTCTCACGGAAGTCCCTTGGACATTTAAGGATGTGGAAGGGATCCAGGAGAAGGTTCATAAGAGTTAGGCAGGCCCTGATTGCAATATACTTCCTTTCCCTGACCGGTCCCTTATGCGGCAAGTCGTTCCGCTGAAGTGAACAGGACTACACGTGGGGCCCAATAATCAGAGCCTGGTTTAATGGTAAATGCAAACTCCAATTCTGCACAGCGTTCTGGTGCATTCGCCATTACAAAGTTGGACTAGAAATAACGGCTCACATTTGTGCGAGAGCCCCAGGTTGTGCTACTATCAGCACAGTTCATTTGGCACCGATTTGGGCAAAAGCAGAGCACTGGAAGGTACCGGCTGCATCTATTTAAAGCATCCAGTGGGTGCTGTGGTCTGCAGATGGCACTGAGCCACGCCGAGTAAAATAGCTTTAAAACAACAGAGAGGAAAACAGAGACCTGCCAATGAGAACCAGGCCCATTTGGTCTGACTTTAAAAAGCTCATTACACTGGATGTTTGCAATCAGGAATGGATTTCACATCCGCACCCTTCTGTGAGATGTACTTAGCACCGTCAAAGTAAATGGACTTTAGTACTACAGTATTCAGAAGGGAAGACACTTCCGTTTAAGACAGCGTATTTCAGGGAGGTCTTTTGTTCATGCATCTACCCTTTTGTCTAGTGACTGTAATAAATAATGCATTAAGGAGTCTTTCCTCTGACATCACCGGGAGCTGGATCAGGCCCTAAAATAAAAGAAACTCAGAAAACCTGTACTTGGCGGGGGATTCTCTTAAGAGTTATATTCCTTCCACCCACCCAAGAGAGAAATTTCAGGCAGATTTTCACTCCGAGATCTGCTATCCTGCCCCAAGTTTCAAACATTTGATTGAACTAACTAGATCAGGACACGGTCCCCCTACCATAACTTCAGCATCTGATCCATCGGGACGAGGAAAAAGAAATGGAGCTAAGCCGTGGTGAAGTCTCATTCTTAAATTATAACTCCCTGATTAAAAAGAATTGCTTAAGGTCCCAGCTGAAGCGTACTACTCCATTGAAGTCGCTGGTCATAGCGTGTAAAGTTAAGCATGTGCATAAATCTTTGTAGGATCACAGCCCTCTGGCCATTAGAGAGGTTTTTGGATGGATGCCCTTTTCAGGCGGCTGTTGCCTTCTGCGCACGATACAACGACGTTGTAAACACATCTGATAAAAGCGAGCATTAATCTTTCATGTTTCTCATTCAACGCGTCTTTCAGGTTTTGCTGTTGTTGGTTTTTTTTTTTTTTTTCAGAAACACTGCTATGCTTTTTAAATGTACATTTATCCTATTTTATATATGCTTCCGGCAATGCGCTATATTTGATTTTAATGGAGATGCCTTGACTACCGAACACTAAAACATAGTAAGGCACTTTTCTGAGAAGCGGTTTGGAATCGATGCTTTCTACGGAGCTGCAAGGTACAAAGGTATTTATGGTACAAAACAATACTGCTGGGAGTGGACTTATTTGGAGACGTAACTAAACGCTAATCTCATCAGAGCAGAGTACACAGTATGGCTTTTATTCAGATCAAAACCACATCCCCTCCATCTGTTTCTGGAGTGGGTTGAAAAATGTTATTTTTGCAAACGTAACTAAAGGAAAATGAAGGGTGGTGCTATTTACAGGGTGGGGGGAAGGAGTTACTTTTTTTCTCCATTTTTATGCAGTATTCTAGCTTGGCGGTAGCGCTGCTCAGTGCTCCTCAAACCAAGCCAAAACAATAACACTAGCGGTGCACTCTTTTGGTGCTAAATTGCCTTTATATAGTTTACATAAGTCTGTACAGAGACGTCTTCTTTATTACGTGGAATCCCTTTAATGTATTTAATACTTGCCAAAAAAAAACAAAAAAAAATTCTACTCTATCGAAACCGATTATTTTGAAAAAGCACATTCATAAATTCTGCTTCACAGAGGGTCCCTTGGATACTATTAAACACTTGTGCTTGATCATTAAGACATCATGTTAAGAAATTTACTCTCTTCCGCCAGGGTGGTTAGCATGGAGCTCATGTCGCCTATTGCCATATTGCTTATTCCCGCTGGGATGGACGGCAGCGTCAGAGAGTTTCGTGGAGTCGTTAGACGAGAGGAGTTCTGGGAGAGGTTCTGCAGAATGCTAGGGCTCAGGGTTCCTGACATCAGGCTTGAGTGGTCTCCATCATCCATGATGGCATCAAAATCTATCTGGGGAGGCTCCAGACCTTGCGAGTCCACTGTGCTGGACACCTGATTAGCTCCGGGAGAAGGCATAGCAGCCGGCTTGCTGCTCATGGCGCACTGCTGCTGTCTGACTCGGCAGTCCGTGACGGAATTATCAAAGTTACCGTTTTGCTCGTACATGTGGATCTGACCATAATAGTACATCAAATTGTTCTCCCTTGTGCCGCCTGCACATTGCAGAGGCTGCGTCGGCATCATATCGCTGGCTCTTTTTGGAGTGGCCTCTTCTGTTTCCTGGCCGGGGCTCATGTCGTTAGGAGGGTGGGCAGTCCTCATGTAGCCTAGCTGCTGCATGGTGCGTAGTCCTCGGTGTCTGTTTGCTGGACTCGGTTCAGGTGGAGGGTGAGGCTGTACCATCCCGGGAGTGTAGGCCTGTCCGGTTGAACCCATCATGCTCTGTTGGGGCTCAAAGTTTGGCTGGTTTGAGGTCATTAAAGAAGCGGGCTGATGGAACACCTCCTGACTCATGGCAAAGTTCAGGTGATTTGTCTGAGATGAATAGTTCTGCTGATTTTGTTCATGCATGACCTGATTCAGCATTACACGCTCACCATTACTGTTGAGTATTAAGGAGGGATCAGTCGCCATGTCCACTTGCTGAGGATGAATGTGGGGTCCAGGCTTCACTGCCATGTTGCTACAAGAAGGAGAAAGTTGGTTTGGATCTCCACCGATTGCATTTGGGCTCAACATTTGATGAGGCTGGTTATACCCTGGGTGTGGGCTCAAATCCGGGTTCATGTTCATGCCGGGATTGATTTGCTGTTGCCTCATCTGCATGCAATTTAGCCTTTGCCCATCTAAGCTCACATTTCTTTGCACGAAGTTTTGCTGGGTTACATTCATACCACTCTGACTCATCTGCATTTGCTGCTGGTTGAAGTTCTGATACTGGCCAAAGTTCTGCTTCTGTTGGACAACGGCTAAGTTGCCCTGAGAAAACGGTTGCTTTGATTGGTTAGACATAACATCAACAGTTCCTGAGCTAACCTCATTCCATTGGACGGGCATATTGTTTTTACTCATGTTCGAGGACACGTCAAAGCTCAGTTGGCAATCTGCCATCATCGGACCCAAATGGCTCAGGCCTGTGTCAGCTACAGCCATCCTGCGTTGGCCGGGCAAGCTCTGAGGTTGTAGTTTGCCATTGCCTTGGAAGTTTTGCATCTCATTACCGTACCCCATGGAAGTGCTTTCCACAGCTGTCCCATTGTTCTGAGATTTGATATATTGCACGACATCATCTGGCAACATAATGTCATCCTCTCCAACGGGACCATCTGTCTCGCCAGACATTGCTTCCATGGCTATATTTTCACTAATGCTTAGAGGTCGAGGCGAATAGACGTGCCTGGGCAGATTCCCATCGGCGCGCATGTAGCTCTGAAGGCCGAAATTCCTCCTGTCCACAGGATGTGGAGGGGGCAGAGGATTCATGCTGTTGGTGCTGTTGAAGCGATGGACTCTGGGGAGGGACGGCGGTTCTGCAACGGGCCTTCTCACAGGATCGCTTGCACGTCTCGTGGTGTTGCCTGGGACCTCGTGAGGAAAAGCCATGGTGGCCATGTACCCATAAGTGCTGCCATCACTGCAGCGCCTCGGCCCAGGAGGGAGGCGAAATGAAGGCAAACCTGGCTCCGGCCCGTCAAGAAGAGAGATCTTATTCTTCAGGGTCATTCTTTCCATGTTGGGCAGAGGAGTGGGAGGAGGGCCCCCGGTGGCAGCCGCGTACTTGGCTTTCAGCCTGTACTGCTGAGCCGGTGTGAGGTTGAGCAGGCCTGGCATCCCGCTACATTGGCTGACCTCACTCGATCTGCGCGAGGCATCGGTGGAAATCGGGTCATAGGAGTCGGCAGAGCTGGCGTTGTTGGGACGATTCCCGAGCTGCGAAGCTTCGCTGGAACGGCGGCTGGAGAAGTAAGGGGATATCCCCGATGATCGGCGGCTGACGGTGTAGGCGGAGCTGATGGTGCTCGTGGCGCTGTCTCGGCGTTCGTTTAACTGATTCAGCGTCGTAACCTCATTGACGGACAGCTCCATTATTCTCGGATTTGGCAGGGTCGTAGAGGAGCCACCGTTGTTTTCAAGTAAGGAGCCTGGAGGAGAGCGGTGAGGGGGAAAACAGGGTTAGTTAGCTGCAATAAACTGACATTCACCCATGGGCTTGGTGCATAAACACCGCTGCCTACGTGCTACCAATGAAGTTCCACCGGAGAGCGACGGAAATTTTACTAACTGACAATGAAGTCAGAGCTTTCCCTGCAGCTTTACTCCTGGCAAGGAGCACCGGGGAGAAGAGGACACTGAGATGTGCCCCTGAAGCTGAGCCGCTACTGCATGGTCCTTTGCAGTGTTTGCTACTACATCCACCGAGGAACACACAAGACATAAGAACTGCCATTTACTGGGTCAGACCACAGGTCCATCTTGCCCAGTATCCTGTGTCACACCATGGCAGAGAAGGGATGCTGAAAGGGAGAATGACTGGGTACGACCAGGACTTTTTTCTACTGTTCCTCTCTCACTTGCAGCCTCCAGCATTTAAGGTCTAGGAAGTTCAGGTTCAGATGCTGTATCCCTAACTCCCATGCTCAATAGCTACTGATGCCCCTTTCCTCCCAGGATGTGCCCAGTCCCATTTTGAATCTGGCTAAACTGTCAGCTTTCATAACATCTGGTGGCAATGAGAGCCACACTCATTGGCAACACATAAGGGGTGCACGTGGATGCACCCCCTGAGATTGGCCATGCACCCCTTGGAAATGGCAGCCCCCAAACCGGAAGTGTCAGTGGAAGTGCACTTCCAGTTTTGCCACTGGTGATCGGCTGCTGGTGACCCCCCCGGTCAGCGATCAGCCTCTGGGGAGCCCTCCACCGGGTCAGTGATTTGGTGCCCCCCCCAGACTCGGGAGGCACCAGCCGCCCATGTCCACACTGCAATTAAATGCTGTGTGAAAAACAACTTCCTTTTGTTAGTTTTCAACTTACTACCTACTAGTTTCATTTTGTGACCCCTAGTTCTTGTCTTGGGTGAGTCAGTAAGTAATAAATCTCTGTTTACCTTCTCTTTGCCATTCAGTATTTTGTAAACATCTATCATGTCCACCCTCAAATGTCTCTTTTCTAAATGGAATAGACCTCGCCGCTTTAGTCTCTCCTCATATGGGAGCCCCTCCATGCCACCAATCATCCTTGTTGTCCTTCTCAGGACCTTCTCTAGTTCTTCTATACCCTTTTTTGAGGTGTGGGGACCAGAACTGGGCACAGTATTCAAGATGTGCATGTATCCTTATGGACTTACGATAGGCAGAATAGAGTGTGGGGTCCCATCTCAGCCATCTGATCACTTGCTGGAATCACCATTGAAAAGCCAGAGGCAGAGGACTGTGTGCTAAGTAAAAAAATGGGAGCACCCTTTGTGTGTGCTGGTCCTTTTTGTATGCACAGCTGGAGGGACACAAAAGGAGCATAATGCTGCCCTTGTCAGGAATTCCCTCCTGGCATCACACTAGCCTAGGGAGTTTTCTGCCAACACCATGATACAATATAAACCAATTATTTCCCTGTAATGGTTCAGGCACTATTGTGGCGGGGCACTAACAGGGCCCTCATCAGGCTTGATTTTCCCTGTGGCAGGTTATGGGGAGCTCTTGGGATTTCAGGTATTGTGCCTTGTGGCTGTGTGTGAGGGGTTTCAGTGGTGGCGGTGGCCTGCAAGCACGGGGACTGGACTTTATGTCCCAGGCGGCCCCTTCCAGTCCTATACCCCTATGCAAGGGCATGCCAACACACGAAGCAGAAGAGAGATGTAGCTGCTTTACTGCTGTGATCCAGCAACCCCCAAAAATCCCATAAAAAGACCCTGGGGATTTCTCACTGCTTGCACAAATCAAAGCAACCCTGAGGGAGGACGCATGCAAACTAGCCCTGGGTAAACCAAGGAACAAGCACATTTGCCCTGCTTTTCCTTAGCCATTCTTTTGCACCATGGTATATGTCCAAGTTTACACCCGAGTTTGCTTCTTGCAAGATGGCTCGTTATTCAGAGAGGGAAATAATTCTCCAACAGGGCAGGGTAATTCTCCTAGGGGGCAGATGTTTCGTTGAGAGATGGGAGGCATGGCCTGATGAATTCTAAGAGGGGCAAGGATATAGGCCCATGGCTTACCATTTCCTGATATGGGAGGCAGCTTGGTGTTTCTGGCTTGTGGAGCTGGGGTCACCCATGAGCAGGAGTCCTTAACTGTCTTGAGTTTCTCTTTCTTGAGCTGTTCGAGCCGTTGCATCGTTGTCATGTGTTTCCGCAGCTGAAGGCTGACCGTCGAATTACCAGATGAGACTGTTGAGTCCACAACAGGAGCATTGTCATCCAGCGCAGTCAGATCTCCCAGACTTCCCCCACTGTGCATATTCATTTCTACTCCACTGTCATTGTTGTTGGTGCTGCCAAGCGGTGATGGTTCACTGCTGCATGATGACTGGCCACCAGGACTGGACTGACACATCTTGGAAAGGAGAAGTAATAGAAGGTCTGAGTTTTGCTGTTGGAAACTCGGCTTTTTTTAATGTGCAGGTTGCTAGACCCTTGAGACCAAGGTCTCTTACCCATCAACATGGTTGGTACAGGCCAAGGAAACGTGGCGCACAAGCCACCCCCTTTCTAAGACACTGCCCCACCGACATGTCTCAACTCTGCCCTGCAGACAAGAAACATCTCCAGATAAGAGAAGAATGCTGTTCCCATATCCAATCTTGGCACTAACCATTGGCCTTTCAGCAGCAAATTCTTGACAGCTCATTTAAAGTAAAGTGAATGAACAAAATTGCATTAATTTCACAAGCCCACCCCACAGATTGAAAAAAAAAAAAGTCACTGGTGTCTTGCACCAGAGGGAGACACCAAAAACACTGCTGCTCCATGAATATAAGTTGGTTATACTGAGCAATTTATTTGCACCAAATGTTCGATGTGAACTGGCTTGGGGGCAACATGCTTCACTGCTAGGCAGGATGCCTGGGTTCCCAATTCCTAGTCTTGTTTCAGCGGGTATGAGAAACTGGGAGGCAACATATTTAGGCTGGTAGGGAGAGTGGGCAGGAAAAGTACCTTAATTTGCTCAGAAACCCCCTATGGAGCAGGGCTGAACTAGTCCAGGACCCTTTGATCATAAACTTACTATACAATACATGGGTTCAAACCAATTCTGGAAGCAATGAAGCCAGAGAAACCCCAGGGGTACTCCAAAAGATGCCTAGCCCTCCACCAAATTGTCTCCTATTATTTGCCCACAACTCTACCCCCTCTTGGCACCTCTGTCTACTCTTTCATAGTCCACTTAGCTAGACCCATGGCCCAGAATACATCACAGTATTAAACAGGGTTTTGAAGAGAAAGGATTTCAGTGCTCACCTTAGTACCGACTGTCCTTAGGAAGGTACAGTAAAGAAAGGGAAGTGGGAACAAAGAACAAGTGGTTAGAACAAAGGCAACATTAACAGAAAGGATCGAGTTAGTGAAAGAGGGGAGCCAGGAAGGACACGATTCAAGGAGATTAGCAGCATCCTGTCCCCCAATATAACCACCCCTGCCCCGCAATCCCAGCATTTCAGAAGCTTAATTTAACAGACCTGAATCCAAATCTCACTGAAGAGAGAAGGGGGATTTCTATAGATCTCAGTGGATCCAATGCTGGGTCAGATAGAAAGACCCTAGAGTCACCAAAACAAGCGACGTGTTTCAACCAACCAGTCGCTGACTATTCCAGGACTTCTAGGACTTGAATGAACAAAGACAGTGTTGCTGCCCAGGGGCTGGTGTGCAAGCCAAGCAAAGGCAATAGGGCTAGCAGGGTGTAGCAGATGCAAAGATTTGGTCTGATGTGCCTAATTGCAAGCGGGCTGCACAGGGTGCAGCTATGGGAAGAACGCGGCACACACAATGGTAAATCTCCTGGGAAATTTGGGGGGAAAAGTATTCTCACATGTTCATGTCAAAATATCTTTTCTTGGGACGAGGTTGCTCTCGCATTGAGTTTTTCCACCAAATATAGAAACTTGTGAAGGTAAAAATCTATCCCGCTAGCCAAAAAACAGCCTGCTGGGCTGTGAAAATAGTCCATTCCTTCTTGGGCTAAATTCACATGTGACTGCAGTTTGGCCCAGCAGCATTTAGCCCTCTGATGCCTCAGACTGGTGGAACTGACATTTTAGCTGGCTTAACTTCAAGAAAATATATATTTTGGAGGCTTCAATGCTTGCAAAGTTGTCTTGACTCATGGAAAAAAAAAAAACAGAGATTGGACAAACTCTTCAGCAGGTGAAAACCACTTCAACCATTCATCACTCCTGATTTTACCCTGAGTTGATGTAGGAAGCCAAAATGTTGTCCTTTTGGCTGCTAAGGGAAGGAGAAATACTGGAAGGCGAAAGAGTGGCAGGGTGTCCCGATGGACTTCCTTCACCTCCCGCGGCACGCACAGAAATAGACACAAGTACTGAAACGGCACGTACCGGGCTTGGACTGGAAATAAGACTGCTGTCTAATTTAAACAGTCTTGGGGGGCAAAAATAACAGTCCTGCAATGACACAGTAATTACAATTTCACCCCTGCGGCATGACCGTAGGACCGCATTTCAGGATGGCGCATCATCCTGTTCTGATACAACGGCCATACCACGGCATGACCTCCCAAACACAACATGCCCCAGAGACTTGTAGCAGCTTGGAGGCTTTGAAGGTTTGGGATTATTCAGACAGTTTTTGGGTACCTGACAAATGCACAGGGAGGGGGTGAGAAAAGTCATTAGCTTTTCCTTTTTTTGAGGAATTGTGGGCCACACTTTCGGATTTAAGTGATCACTTCTCTTACCACAGAATTCTCCGTCTTTATCGTTTTGACTTGCAAGCAGTCCTCCATGCCCCTGGCGGTGCTGTTGGCTTCAGAGCCGTCTTCTGAGATCTTGCTGCTCTGCTTGGCGCTGGCTTCGTTATCGCCGTTTTCCTTGAGCGGTGGTGGCCTTGGGTGAACGTCATTGCGTTGCTTCTTCGTGACGTGGGCATCGGGCCCGTGCACAGTTTTAACGTGTTTCCTGAGGGAACTGGGGTCCGTGTACCTCTTTGTGCACCCTGGGATCTTGCAGACATAGGGTTTCTGTTAAGACAGCAAATTTGAAGTTATGGTTAAAGAAAGCTGAAACAATCTGGGTGTTTTACAGGCAAAAATAAGGCATGTTCCCACGGAGGACAACGGAGACGGGTGCTGGTGGGAGAGCGCGGAGCATCTACCCACTATGGTTTTGCAAAACAGCTATGGCAGAGATTCGTACGCTGTGATCCGTGGACTGCTGGCAGTCCAAAGCGACCGGGCTAGTCACTTGGTGCTGGCTCTCCTCCTTGTTTTCTGCTGCTAAATTAAAAAGGCAGCTAAAAAATTCATGAAATACTTTCTGAATATTACTTTTCCATGTAGGTATTTGCTCTGGTGGCCACAGGAATGTTTCCTGATTATGGATGGAAGGGCAGGTGGCTTGGACCAATGGGAACAGCAGGACATGACCACAAAGGCTTGTCTCGATTAAGACGAGGTCTACACCCTGTGAGAAAAGGCTGGAGCCCTCCTGGATCTATGACAATTCAGGGAAACCGAGCCAAACGGGATTCTGCCTATCTAATCTCCTGTACATCTCCAGCACCTGTCACCCTGAAATCTGTTATCATGCAAAACAAATCACAGGCATGCCGTGCTTTTTAAGATGATAGCACGGCGCTCCTGAAATCATGAATCATTGATTGCTGCAGCAGAACAAAGATGAGGCCAGGCTTTTGGAAAGAGAAGGGAGGAAAGCGCTACCTTTCTTTCAAACTCTTATTTATCCAGTTTCCAGTTCCAAAGTCCATTAGCACCAAGGGTGTTAGGGCTGCTGCTTTCAAAGGTCTGAATTCATCACAAGCACCATCTCAGCCTCACAACTGCTCTAAGTATTTTTCCACTGAGACATTGTAATGGATCCACGAAAAGGAACAATCACTATATGCTTTTCAAAGTTTAACCAAAAATGGTCATTTCTATTCCTTTGTGTGTCTGCTTACCAGTTTGACCAAAGAGCAGCAGTGATCAATGTGGGGACGTGTATTTATATTTATTTTTGCAAAAAACTAGCATCATCATATGCACAAGAGGAACTCTGCTGCAAGCGTCCTAGCTGGTTTGAGGCAAGTCCCTTTAATTAATTAATCTTTAGAATACCCCTCGGAGGTAGAGACTGCTACTCCCATTTTATAAGTGAATAAGAAGAGATGCAAAGAATTAAATTAAGGGTAGCTCACACTCAGGTGCTTGGATGAGCCACTATAGAAGTAGTATGACTGTTATTAACACCTCCATTTGAGTAAAGGGAGTAGAGCCTGGTATGTGAATAGTCCAGTCTGATACTTTATAAATGAGAATAACTCACACAAATCTTGCCAATATTGCCAGGAGATTCTACTTGCTTAATTAGGTGGATCCATTTCATCATGAATCAAATCTTATTGATGGCTGAATAACGCATAATGGTAGCTTTGATGGGATGCTTATGAGTGTTAAGTGTTAGTCAAAAAGAAGCATCATGTAGTTGGGAGTCCTCTGCCAATGCCAGTTCATACTTCTCTAACGCTTCCTCCCTAGCCTTTTTCAAACACCTGCGAAGCTCCCTCTCTGTAGGGTGGCAGAATCGCAATGCTCCTCAGAAAGGCTGTGACCCTGGATTTCGATAGTTCAACCACATTTCACTTGAGTAAGGAAGGGGGTCCCTTGGAGACTTTGGCCAACAGCAGACTTGTGCCACCTTGAACTCATTGGTGAGTTGGTGGGTGGGTGATTGAGCAGATAATCGAATTAAAGAACCATTTGGAGGAACATCACAACACTCGGACATTTCCCGGCCTTGGGAAATCAGTAATGGACCACTGGCTGTGACATCCTAAGGGCACGTTGAAGGGCCTACTGAAAATTTAAGGCTAGATAGCACATGGGCATGACATCTATTCATGCAAGGGCAGGGTAGAGCCCGAGCTCTGTACCGACATAATGAAGAAGGTCATTAGGGACACAGTGCAGCTCCTGACTGCTTGGTAAAAACTGGGCTCACAGAAACAAAATTTGCTTTTGTCCAACCTTAAAAGGCTATTGAAATACTGCAGAGGGGATAGGACAGAGCTACCACAATGATTTGTAGGCTGGAGAAGATGCCTTATAGCCAGGCACAAACAGCCCCATCTATTTAGCTTCTCAAAACAAAAATGAAGAGATGACTAAGGTAATTCTCCCACTTATGCCAGGAGAAAAACCTCTCTCCTGGCCCAAAAAGAGTGGAAAGCCGTTCCAGGGATTTCTTGCAGAAGAGAACTGGCTCTTCTGTAGGAAAGTCAGATCTGTTTTTAAGAGGAAAATCTCCATTGTCGTGCATTAATTTGAATAGCTGTATACTCTTCTAGGGTGTTGAGGACAACCAGTATCCCACAGTCCTCTACTCCCTCCCTCCCTTGAGGGATGGGGGAGGGAGAGCACAGGGAGCCCAGTGGGGACCCTCCTGTGAAAAAGTTCCCTTGCCAGGGGTGACCGGTGCCTCCTGAGTCTGGGGGGGGCACAATTTGTGGGTGGGCCTGGGAGCGGGCCAAAACCCCCATATCCACTCCTATACTTCTGTGCCGTGACTTAGTGCCCCCCCACAAACGCTGCTGGCCCGTGCGGCAAAAAAACTACCCCATCCTAAGCAGTACCAAGTCGGGGGCCAATCTCTGGGGGGGGGGCACATGCCCCCCAATTCCCCCTCTACCAGTCACCTGTGCCCTCTGCCTCTGCCAGTCACCCATAGTGGGACCCCTCCAAGAGCCCCAGGAGAGCTGCCAGGAGGAGGGATGTCCCCCAGCCCCAGGTTCCCCACATCATGCACTCATTTGGGTTGACTCAAAGGAGTGCGGGGGGGCCGGAGGCAGCTGTCCATGGTTTCCATCACAGGACAATGCCCCGCTCACCGTCCCCTCTAGTGCCTCCTGGCTGGAGAGCTCCCCCCGTGTAGCCCTCCAGCCAGGGCGCTGGAATAAACGTGCGTCCTAGCTCCCAGGTTATTTTTCTAACAGTAATAATTTCGCAGAAATAGTTACCGCTAGAAATGAGCTCCTGTCCATGGCCTAAGTGACAATGCACAAGTACCTTCACAGGGAGGAAACTCCAGGAATGAAAGGGCTCGATGATCTAGTGGAAGAAGGCATAATAAAACTCAGAGTCTGGGTGCTGTAGCCAGACCAATTCAAATGCATCCAATCTTTTACCTGTGAGGGTGATTTAGCACCGGAGAATGGACAGTCTGCTTCTGCAGAAGGTATGCACACCTCATCCTTCCACGAGACATGAGTGACTGGGCTCAATACAGGGTTAATGGTGACATTTTATGGTCTGTGGTATACAAGAGGTCAGACTAGAGGATCTAATGGTTTCCTCTGGTCTTAATGTCCGCGCATCTGTATTCCAAGTCACCCAGCCTTGGGGCAAACCGGAGTGGCAAGAAAGCAACTCTAAGTCCCTCACTGGCATCAACTGGCTCACTGATGAGATTAAGGTCTATCTTCAATAGTTGGATTCCAATCCAAACAAATTCAAAGGCAGCTTGGCTCTCCTTCCCTGACCCAAGTAGCTAAGAGAAGCAGCCAAGATTTTCGGTATTTACGACAACTACCAAACCTGCAAAGCTTTTTGGAGTTTGGTTATCCTTAACTCATGTTATGCAGGAGGCAAAAATACTCCTAGCAACCCCTACCTAGACATGGTATCACTTTAAAATGCCGTCAACCTTTGCAATCACGTTCCATTCTCCAGTGGTTCATATTTAACTGTTACAAATTAGGCTACATACTAAATTCTTCATGGTCGCAAATGCTATTAGAATTTGGAGCGCTGTTTTTTCTTCCCGTCGTCAACTAATTAGTGGTAATATAAATTTCAATCCTCAGCCTTAGCTGGTTGCAGCAGACCATCACATGCGTAACAATAAAGGCAATTTCCTGCATTCCCCAACTACTAATAGCGGGTCTTAATTAAGCAGGGTTAACAAAGCATTGCATTGCGCTTTATCATCGTACATCAAATGCCGGAGGTAGTATTACTTCCAAAGTGTCAGGATGCCGGGTAGGAATTATACCACCATGAGTCTAGGCTGCAGCATTGTTAAAAAAAGGGAAGAAAGAAAAAGAAAACATGTATAAATGTAGGAACCTGCTTGCCCTATTAAAAAGTATATGATTTTGGAAAGCACCAGCTTTAATTTCAAAAGCCAATTAGAAAGTTTGCAGATGTCCACATCTGTTTATGGTTTCAAACATGGCTTTCATAACTATAGAGCTAATGTGGTCTGGCTTGCCAGCAAAATAAATGCTGTTAAAAAAAAGCAAAGAAAACCTTTCACGATGGTAGATTTCTTTCTACGTGAGTCCAGCGTGTCGTGTATTTGTCAGTGAAATGAAAAAGAAAATAATGGAGCGTGCAGCGTGCATAGGTTTACCTCATTGGAGTGCGTCCTGTTCTGGTGCTTGGCTCTGTCTGAAGCATTGGAAAAGGCTTTATTGCAACCTTCGTGTTCACAGACGTAGGGCTTTTCTCCAGTGTGAGATCTCAGGTGTGTCTTTAAGTTCTCCAGCCGGGAATAGGCCTTGGAGCAACCCTCAAACTAAAAGAAAAACAGAATAGGAGTGATTAATCAACAGGGGGAAGGGAGGGTCTTTCCTTTCTCATCGGTTTCTTATTCCTCCTCCCCTTCCGGGGAGGGTGTTTGACAAAAGAGTGCTCACGTTACTGAGAGCGACCTGGCTGTCCCCGAGTAGACTGGGATTTTCAAGACGGGATAGTGATAGTAGGTGCCTTTGCTTTCTGGATGCCTGATTCGATATGAGTTGAAAAGGACCCAACTTTCAAGCAAGGCTGAATGCCTGGAGATTAGACCCCGCCTCAGTGCTCATAAATGCAGACCCCCAAAATCACGAGCTAGTTGTGAAAATCTTGACCAAGGCCTTCTCACTCCGCTGACTTCAGCATTTCAGAGACAAACCCATCTTCCACAAGAGAAATGGAGATACAGCAAGCTTTGGAGTGACCCTAATTATGCTTTGGTTCCACTTTTTCCTGAAGGCACTGAACACGGGTGGCCAGATATTACCAGCTAAAAAACCAAGAACTTTAATCTTGAAGAGAGATTAAAGTTGCATGACACAGAAGCCCAGGAGCCTTCCTCCTGGAAAAAAAACAGTTCAGATATAAAGCAATGGCAGACCTCAGTGCTGGCTGGGTGAGGACCTTCTCTCTGCATTCAGCCAAGCAACCAAAATAGTTTCATAGTTGGTAGGGTCGGAAGGGACCTGAGCAAGACCGAGAGAAGACCGGATGCTGCCCGTAGCTTTTCCAAGCAGCAATGACTCCGAAGTGCCAGTGCATTTGAAAACATGAGATTTCCAAAAATGGGGGCTTAAAGCAAGACCTTTAGAGCGACATTTTCAAGTGTGCCTTTGGAGTCGAGTCAATGAGTATGCTGACAATCCCATACAGCAATCCTTATTCAAGCACTTTCAGAGGGCTCCTGGATTTCAAAGCTGCCAGTCATTCCCAATTCAGCAGACTGCTCATCTGAATCGAATCACTTCCATCAGTGCCCACCAATGGACACCGGAGCCACTTGAGGTTGCTGTTTAGGAAGGTCTTTGCCAATGAAAAGGGATATAATGACAGATCATAAAGGTGTCTCTAGAGAACGATGAATCTAGAGGCATGAGTCTGATCCTCGCTCCTGGCTTGCATGGAAGGCCACATCCAGTCAATCCCATTGTAAATGTCTGTGGGCTGGGAAATAAAAATCAAAGAGTCCCGTGGGCTGGGGAAAGCCAAGACAGCCACATGGGGTGCTGGCCACATCACTCCTGTGCGTGCTGTTGCCTACAAACACTGGCTTCTCTTATCCATACTGGCACAATGGACTACATAAATTTAGGAGAAATCTTTGGCCAGTAAAAAAAAAATCTCTCTCTAAAAGCAAAATTTATTCTACTGTATAATTCAGCACCATTTGGGGAAAGGGAGAAAACACTTGTAGCACTCATCAGACTGATCCTGAAGAAATATGGCTTTGGTATTTTATCTGTTATGGGAAGGAGCTACAGTAATGACCATTGTGTTGGTCACTGGTGTAGGCCATGGTACTTGAACCCATGCCCATAGGATGCTGTAGTCTGGTTCAGGGAAGGTTGGGATTTTTAACTGTATGATGCATAAACGTCGAACGAAAGGCAACCACTACATTTGCACAGGCAATTCTTACTAGGTTGTCATACTGCACCCATCACACCCTCTCTGGTCAGCTTCCTCTAGCACACCGGGGTCATTCAGCGTACGGTGACTTTGAATAAATGGCACACAATTCTCTCTCACCCTATGCACATGGCTGAAAAATATCGCTCCATTCACCGGAAAACACTGGTAACTAAGCATGCGGTCATACACAGGAGCGACCTAGCAATCCCAAGCATTGTCACAACACTGCAGCAAGTGGGGGACCGCCGACACCTGGGGTTTGCTTTCAGATATGAGTGTCTGCAGGTGCTCATGCTGGTTGTTCCCAGATTGAAGTGATGATTTGCCTGTGCAAAGATGAGATCACCTGGAGAAAGGGGCCTGACCTCCTGATCCATTCGCTGGAGTTTGAGGTTTTACACATGTCCCTATCACTGTGCCTGTCTCTTTATTTAAAATAAATTGCACCAGGAGAAATCACTGCTCTGCCGAGTCAAGTCCCCTCTACATGTTACAGGTATTGCACAATTAGCTGTCGCGCTCCCTAGGACTCAGGGGTACAGAAACCGAGGAATCGCCCCGAAGTAATCCTTTGGCCCGGAGAGCTTCCTGCACCCAGGGTGGGGGGAATCACCCCTGCACGTGTAGAGGGGTCATTGCTTAGACAAACAATGCCGTGCTGGAGAAGAAACTCAGCACCGCAGGCAGTGAGGAGTCAGGCTATTTGCAACACAGTAAGGGAGTTTGGTAATCATCGAAGTAAAAACAGAGTCATTAATAAAAACACCGAACAAGAGTGGGCGCAGAATCCCACCTGAAATCCCCTGGCACGCTGACATCCATCCATTTATAGTTACTCTTTGCTTGGGGTCACTCAGGCAATTATGTACTCCCTGTACATTCATTCTACCTAGCCCGTGTTTCTTCAACTGTATAGCCCATGTATTAAAAGCCTTACTGAGGTCCAAGTATAGTATGCCCATGGCATTCCCTCCAGCCACTACCTACCTTCTGCAGACAGCAGGTCCTGGTGTCACTACAACCCCCTGCCACAAGATCCATGGCAGGACAGACCACGCAAGTTCCCGACCCCAGGCGTGCTCCGTAAGCACTGGACGACCCTTCCTTGCTGTTAGCTTTAATGCCCCAGGACAGCTCGCGAGGAACGTGTCCTGTGGTGGGGACTGTTCCTGCAGAGACCTGTGGTGGCAACCACTGCCTCATTACAGACATGCATTCAAATGGTCACCAGCACCCGCCAACCCGCCCGGAGGTGGCTCACCGTGCACTTGTGGGGTTTCTCCCCCGTGTGACGCCGCATGTGCACTACCAACATGTACTGAGCCTTGAACGGCTTCTGCTCCCGGGTGCAGTCCTGCCAGCGGCAAACGAACTCTTTCTTCTCTCCGTGGATGTGATCGTTATTGATGTGCTGGCAGGAGAGGGGAAAGCAGGGCATCATTAGAGCAGCTGACGCCAACAGAGCACACGGTGTTTGAAAGCAGGGGAGGAAAACCAACTTTGTGTCAGTCAATGGGGCTGCTGTGACATACCCAATATGCACTCCTTCAGAGCTGCAAGGACAAGCATGTTCTTGGGCTGGCCCTTTACTGCAGCTTAGAAACCTGGCCCAAATGCTGATCTACTGGACCAAAATATAGTGCAATAAGAAGGATGCGACTAGGACAGTTTACTGAAGCATGAAGGCTGCATTTACTCTGTTGAAAGTGCATCAGATGCACTAGGCCAGGTCCCCAGCTTCTGTAAACCAAATCTGGTCTATACATACTAAAAGTGAAGCATACCCCCCTCTTGAGACCACTGAGAGGCCTCAAAGCAACACATCAACCCCCATTCTTGCTTTCGGGGCCTTTTGTGGAGGATAGGGGGCATTTAGGAGCATAAATATAAATCATGTGGTCCATGATGGCTAGGCTGTAGTCCAGGATGCCTCTCAACAGGTACCCAAAGATGGCCCACTGGCTTCAGAAGAGAGCAGGTATCCAATTAGAAATGACACCACCAAATAGAAAGGGTTCTTCCATTTGTATATGCTCCTTTTTTTAACTAAGATATATTAAAAAAAAGCCTTGGAGCACCCGGGCTGGGACATATCAGAGCCATCCAGGGCAGAGGGGAATTCGGGGTAGACTTGGAAGGAAGGGGTAAGAACTTGCAGAAAAAAATGACTGGACTTTAGTTGGAGATGACTAACATGTAACTTCTTGCAGACTCCCACCTGGCCGTCTACAGGGTGGCCAAGCCACCTACCAACACATCACGACCTACCAGTACAAAAAGGGACCAGTGGTGCAGAGGATTTTTTTTTTATCGTTATTTACCCAGGATCAGATCCACTGGTGTACAAACACACCAAGAGGCAGTGAAAGGCTTGCTAAGACCTACCTGACACTGCGGACGGGGGGTGAAAAAGTGGATCCTTTTACTTCCTTTTGCCGACGTGACTCAGCTCATGCAATTTGATATAAATTAGTGGTCAGGAGTGGCTCTCCATATCTTCCTACACCCTGGGGACGAGCAACCAGCACACTTTGTGCCTGCATGGAGCGTACCTGATCTTGCCCCAGAAGCTCATGTCCCTATAATTTAGCTGAATTAAAACTGCTGAGACATGTCACCCTGCAATGCGCTGACTCCATGCGTCCTTCAGAGTCGAGCATGCTACATTTGCTCAAGCGGGAAAAAAATACCCAACAACAGGGTGGTTTTGTTCCACTTTGCTAATACTGGGACTATTTCCGCAGATTATGCTCTTTAATATCTGGGCTGATAAATACATTAAAAAAACCCCGTAACATTTCTTTGCCCTTTATGCAGTGTTAAGACACAGCTGGGTCCATCTCCATTTAAATGCCCTCTCCCAACCATGTGATCTACAATAGTTTGGTCATTGTTACACTTTATAAAAGGGATTTGGCCAGTCATTGATCCACTGATGGAGGCGGGTATCGCTCCATTGCAATCAATAGAGGATCTGACCCCATTGCTCCTGACTCCCAGACTAATGGCAAAACTAGAGAAATCCCCAACCCTAATTAAAACCTAAATGAAAATGCTGCCTAGTGCTGGGCCCCCACCACAGCCCTGCAACAACCCTGGCCCTCATGGGCCGTGGAACGGGGTAGGCCACCCAGGCCATGGCTTGACCAATTTTGAGCACGTTAATTCAGCTAGCTATGCGGTTAAAAAAATAGCTATACAGTTTTAACCGGAATGACAATTGCACACTTGTGGGTTATATAAATGAATGTGCTCAAAGTTGGCCAGGCCATGCCCAGCCTGATCCATGGCCTGTGCTGGCCCCCAGCAATTTCCCGTTTTCACAAGGACCTGGTTTCTACTTCTGGAGTGGACTGAACTAACGTTCCAGCTGCAAATCCCTCAATGCTGCAGGCTTAAAAACACTGGCAAAAGGTAGGAGGAAAAAAAAAAAAAGACTGATTCAGGCCAGATTGTATTCCAGCTCTAAAGCATCCACCTGCTGTCAAAAGCTGAACTGCGGGCAGGAAATGACTGCAGCTCTCAAGTATGTGCTAAGGAAAGCTGCACAGCCCCTATTACTGCTAATTACTCGGTACCATAAAATCCTCCGGCCCGCACTGAAAACTCAGCAACAGTGTGGAGTTTGGATCCTAGCTGGTGTGAGGCTGGAGTCAGGTTATACGGGCATGGGGAGGGAAATAAAGCAATTCACGGAATAACTCACTGGCTGTCTTGTTCTGCATGTAACTTTGTCTCTCTCTGAATGGGATCTCGCTGCCAAAGCTAATGCCCACCTTCACTCTGCTGTTTTCAGGAGACCTAAACTGACAAGCAAGCCCAAAATAAAAACGCTCTGGATTTGGGATTTTCCAGTACTCAGGGTTTTTTCCAGGATCAAGGTCAGGCCTGCAGACTGCAACTCTGAGTGCTACTGAGGTTGTGGCTTTAATTGCTGGTGGACTGTAGCAATGTTACACGTTCATTAAAACCGAGTAACGAGCCTACTCCATCTCAGCCTGGCACAGCGTGTGCAGGGGTGGACATTCACAACCTGGAGATCAAACTCTGGGTGTTGTTCCTATAGGTGCAGAGCTAAAAGTGCGGTTGTCTGAAACGTCACAGCCTGCCTGCTAATAAAACTGGTGTGCTGTGGAGGAAATGTGGATTGTGGGACAACATGGAGAGGATGCAGGGCACCTTCTTTTCACTATAGATTCACCTCTATGTATGGCGGCAGCATACCCTGGAAGATGGAGGCTTGCCTGCTCCTCCTCTCATGCTCCAAACCCACAAATAAGCCAGGGTCATCCCAGGGGCCACTCACAAGAGTGACTTGAGAGGGAGACCACCAGAGCACATCCAGGTTTGACGTGTGGAAGCTAGAGCACGGCAAACTCAGGAGCATCCAGGCTGGAAAACACCACTGCCACGATGGAGACACACCTGTGTGAACCCTTTACCCCAGAACTTCAGTGCTTTTGACACCGCCGTCACGGGCTCGGTGTGAACGTGGCTCGTGCTCAAGGTCAGCACCTGAAGGGGCAGGGATAAGAGTGAAGACAAGCCACATTCAAAGGATTGAAGCCAGCTCTGTATTGGATATGGAGCTGAGAAATCGAAGACTCGCAGTTTCCCGGAGGTGAACCCTGTCAGGTTGTTTCCACAAGACTTCAGGTGCGTGAGGCAGAAAGCTGCTTGCAAAAACCCTGAGAAGAGCCAGCCGCATCGTGGCGGGATGAGCTGGCGGCTGGGGAGCAGGTGACGTGCCAGCGAACAAGCAGGAGAGTAGCCACGCAGAAGGGGCTGCCCCTGGGACAAGGGGTCTCTTAGGAAAGGGCTGCAGAGCATTAGACGGCATCAGGGCAGCCTACAGCTAAACAGCTGGGAGAAGGCAGGCGGCAAGGAAATGAGCTGCCAGCAAGGTAAAGGGGCACACTTGTGGGTTTGTTTGGACCCAGTCCAGGGATAGTTTATGTTGTAGCCTTTGGACTTTTGTGTTGCAGAGTTCAGACTGGCGGTTTGGGTTTGGGACTATTAGGGGAGGCACGGAGGATCCACACCTGAAGGGCATGGGACAGCTTTGGGCTGGGCTTAAGGTGCTAATAAACAGGGACTGAGCAGGGCGGTGACAGGGCCAGGGGCTCACAGCCCTAGAGGGGCAAGAGCAGAGCCCCGTACAGGCGACCCCAGAACCGCAGGACGGGGAGGGATTGAAGAAGACCTAGAGGCCGAGGCCAAGAGCCCCAGAGAGGGGCAATAGCCAACCTGGGGCCAAGAGAGCCAGAACACAAGCTGGGAAAGGGGTTGCAATCTAGGATAGATGGAAACCAGACTAGAGGCAGGAGCCCAGACGCCTGGTCCTGCAGTGTGGGCCAAGCCAACAGGGTCCAGATAGAAAAAAGGGGCAGAGGCTGAGAAGACCAAGGCCCCAACAAGGCCTAAGACTGACTTGGGGTAAAGCTCCCCACCTGAGCAATGACAGGAGACACGTGCAAGGCACTGGTGCGGCTATAGGGGAGGTCGGAGCCATGAAATTAGCCCCTAAGGCAACTAGGGTACTTGAGTACAGATGGGCCAGGAGGGCCCCACTGAGTGCCTGATGGCAGGATGGCGATTTGCAGGGTTCGGGAGGAACCCAGTGACAGATAGCAAGCTAGGGCTTGCATTTTCCCCATCAAATATCACAAGCAAGGTGTGAAGGCCAGGATGGCCACCAAGGGCATCATGGCCACCCCTGGGGCTCAGTCCTGCTACACACCACCAGAAGAGATGTGAAAAATAGGCCTCTTGGTCTGAGTCAGTTTGTGAATCTGACCTTGGAAGGACTGGCATTTCAGTCGGTTGGATTGTCCCTCTTTATGTGTCTTAGAGGTGTTGCTTGGGGTCTCTCTCAAATGAAGAGTGACAAACATCTACAGCCGGGATGAACAGAGGTCTCTGAAAATATATAGGCTCACCAGTTGTTCTGGTATCTTCCTCGACATCTTCTGCTTCCACCAGCACTTTGGTGTATTGCACAAGCAAACTCACTCTTGTGCGCCTAGGCACGATCATCTGTGCACACAAACATATGTCCTTCAGGGCACAATGGGAAGCCTGCTGTCTCTCTGACCTTCACTCCTGTGCTTATTCTGGGCATCAAAATCTGCAGCTTCTTGAACAGTTGCTAATAAGCACATCACAGTAGCCTCAGGTTTTAAAACCTTCAAAAATAAAGATGTTGCATATTTCTTCAAATATTTGCCTTTTGGTGTGGGGTGATTTTTTTTTTGGGGTGGGGGGTGGGAATTGGTAATAAATTGTGCTGGACTATGGGGATCTGTCTTGTACTTTGCTTTGGGGACAGCTACACAGTTTTTTTGTGGGGGGTTTACAGCTAAGAGAGGAAAAAAAAACATTATTGCTTGATAAATGCAGAAACACGCTTTCCTGGCCAGCACGGGCCACTGTAGATCAGTTATTATTGAGCAATGCCGTGCTTTATGGAGTGTACAAGGGCTTACAAAAATAAAAAGCATTATCTATACATAGCTGCCACCTTAAACACATCTCCCTCATTTAACACTCAGAATTATTTCCACCTCAAGCAAATGCAAGACACTTTCTACTAAATCACTGATCCCTAACCTGTAATGAAGGTAGGGGTTGTGGAGGGGTAACTCTTTGTTTTTGACTTAAGGACGGCAAATGCCAAATCTTAATTTAGACTGTACGCTCTTTGGGGGCTTGGATTATGCTTGCACTGTGTGTGTGCACATAATGCTTAGCTCGGTGAGGCCTGATGCTCGACTGGTGGCCTCCAGGGGACAGATCCCACAGTAATTAATGACCAAATAAATAACAAAAATCAATAGCAGTCTGAGTAACTGTGAAAATCTCTGTGTTCATCAAACAGATCCTTTTCAAAGGAGGCGGCGGCCTCCAGAATTGAAGCCAGCTCTGTGTGCGTGTGTACATGTGCGTGTGCGTGCATGTGTGTGTATGTGCATGCGTGTCCTTCCCCGCAGCTAAACCCTACAAGGGAACGTGACCTGATTTGGCAGTGTTTATGCCACATACTTCTGATTTGCGCCTGGAGTGGCTCCCAGAGCGAGCTCTGGCCGTGCAGCAGCTTGCAATAAAAAGCGAGGACAAATGCAGAACAACCCAAATTTATTGCCGGGGTTTCTTCCCAACATTACTCACATGGACGAGCTGCTCCTGAGTGTCATATTCCTTTGTGCATCCTTCCCAGTGACAGTTTGTCTCATAAATAACTTCGGGCTCCTGTTTACATTCATCCTTATCCAGATCTTCTTTCAGGTCTGTCAGGTGCTCCTGTAACACAGCAAAGAGTACGAGATGAGCTTACTTCAGCTGAATTCCTCGGGTACTGGCAGAGCGCGGAGCAGGAATTAGTGACTGTCATGGAAAGAACAACTGCTTAGAGCGATGTAATGTTCTTGATCACCCTTAAATAACGAGCTAAACAGAGTCCACACAGTGCTGCCCACAGTTTGGGGGGTTCATTTAAAGAAGCAGTCAGATGCCCAGGGCTTTCTGGTTTCAGCCATAAAGTAGGGAGAAGAACTGGCTGGTAAAGAAGAAATCTGTTTTGTGCAGAAACCAACGGTTTGGAATTTACTTTGTTCTGAGTTGGGGCGGGGGGGCACGTTTTTTTGTGAATATGTATATATTTGTGTATAGGTATGTGTAGTCACACACACACACACCCAGAACAACCAACAGCCCAAGGCCTATGGGACTCACCTGAGATGCAGGAGACCCATGGGATACATATGCTGATGTGTAATAATCCCTATTGGTTACGCATAGTTTGCAGCAATCTTGGAGCACTTTGAAGACACAAAGCGATTGACCCTAGGGGGCTACGCTGTTTCCCCTAGCCCCTGCTGGCATAACAAGGAATAATGGGCACAAGTTGATGGAGAGGAGGTACAGATTGGACATCCGAAAAAACTACTTCACAGTCAGGGCGGCTAGGAGCTGGAACCAACTTCCAAGGGAGGTGGTGCTGGCCCCTACCCTGGGGATCTTTAAGAAGAGGCTGGATACTTACCTGGCTGGACTCATTTGAGTCCCGTTTTTGTTTTTAGGGTGAGTGGTTTTGTTTGTGTTTTTTGGGTTGTTCTCCCGCCCTGGCGGGGGGTCGGGCTAGAAGATCTATTAGGTCCCTTCCGACCCTGAAACTATGAAACTATGAAACTATGACCCTAAACACCTTCCTGGAAGGTAACCAAATATCACCACCCCCATGGTATAGTCAGAAAGAGTGAGGTGGGATGGTTAAGTAACTTGACCAACACCAGAGAGGAACTCCCGCTTCCCCGTCTTGTGCTCAGTCCCCTATGGTGGTTGGGCAATTACTAGCCATTCGAGTCCTAATCCCAATTTGTCAAGTTGTTTAACCTCTCTGTACCCCAGTTTCCCCATCTCTGAATAAGCCAAAGCCTACCTGGCTGGGCTGTTGCAAAGCTCACATTCACTGGCTTACGGCAATTGGGAGGGACCAGTCTCTAGACATAATGTGCTACAGAAAACTGTGGTTACAGATCTCATAACTGTTACTGCAGGCGCGTGTGCATGTTGTGCCAAGACAGCAAGACAGTCCTTTCTTTGCCTTGATCTTATTTCATCAGTCCTTAACCTCAACACATCCCTTTCATCAGGACAACCGCGCCAGCAGGAGTATGCCACAGAGATCATCATCCTTTAGCAAGGTAAGCTGAACTTCAAGCTCACTGGGTCCCAGGTGCAGGGAACCCAGAAGAGGGATTTTTGCAGGCAGTTGAAATGAAAGACGGACCAGATAGCAAACCTCTGAGCCAGAAACCTTCCAGAACTTGGGCTCTGTGTTTCAGACCCATCTCTAACTTACATGAACCCCTGGCTGAGACCTCAACCTTACAGAAAGCTTTCTTTTACAGCTACGAGAAAAAAAAACCCAAAAACCTATTGCTTGATGAATATAGAAGAAACAGGGGATTTTAAGTGCAGACTGAAACCAAAGCCAGCCACTTCTAATGACTTCCAGTCAAGTGAAAAAAAATCCTTTGCACATTTCTACACGCCCCCCACCACGGAAACAGTGAAAAGCAGCGAGACTAATTGGAGGAGATAAAGGAGCAAATCTAGAGTAGGGCTCTGTATAAATGGGGGGAAATGAATATTCAGCATTAATAGGGAAGGGCAGGCTGAAATGCATTAAAAAGACTTGATCCCTCGTCTTATCACAAAGGCACCAAGTTCAGGGAGTCAACCCCACAAGAGAGCAGCAGAAGTGGGCTCTTTGCATTGCGGAGCTGAATAATATTGCAAATCCCACATCTGAGTGCCTCAATGGAAAGAAAGCAGCTATAGTAAGGATGGTGAGATTTGCTCCTGGATGTATAGCAAGACAGGCTTTCAATAAGGAATCGTTGGGAGTTTTACCAGCCGTATCTAACAGATGGCACGTATGGGCAGGGGGACTCTGGAGTTTATATACATGTAGAGAGGGGCCGCTCCTACAGCTTATTCAGTCTCTGTGCAGGGATGGATTTCACCCAGTAAAGACCTGGGTTTCTACAAGCCCACAGGGATGCCATCAACAGATTTTCCTGGAGAAGGAAATAACAAGACGGCAGGTGGCCCTATAACCTTTATTTTTTTTTTTGCCCTTCATGTACAAAGCTGAATAAATTATTTAACTATTTCAGTGCTCAGTGTGCAGTGAACCCTGTGAGGAATGGCTACGGATGACCCTTGGGGTTTTGATGCTTGCTTGTTAATAGGTAGTTTAGCTTATCACACAAGCTAAAACCCTAAATAGGTAGGTTAACTTATCACAGCCAAAGCAGCATTCAAGCCAGTGGAAGTGGCAAAGCGATGTCATCTCCAGATGCCTCTCTCACGTGGACATGGACTGGAAGTTTCTAATGATTAAAGAAAAGGTGTTACTCAGCAAAGGGCTGTAACTGCACAGAGCTCTAACTGTTGCAAGATTAATTCATTGGCAAAATAAGCAGCTGCCTTTCAGATTGTAAAGAGCAATGTGGAATATATATCCAAGCTGGGGTTTTCAAATGGGCCTAAGGGAACTAGATGGCTCATGACCCATTGACTACCACTGCAAAGTTTGCAGCTGAAAGATGGATCCATCTGATGAGATGAAACAAGGCCTGCAAGACTGATGCTATTAGTTATTGGTCTCAGAGTAGCACCTAGACACATCAACTGAGATAGAGACCCTGTTGGGCTAAGCAATGAACAAACAGAAATAGTTCCCAGGCTGGAGATTTCATTGTAGGCAGACAAGTTCAACCACTGGCCTACCTTTTCAACTAACCTTACTGGCATAATTGTATTGTTTAATTATACCATGATGCTTATATAAGTCAAACTCCCTGTATGGACATGATTATTCTGGAATGGGAGTACTTGCCTGCACTGCTAGACCATGATCATTGCACCACTAAATTTCCCTGTATATTCAAGGACACCAGCACAAAAAAAAACGAAGGGCCTTGTCTACAGTGGCACAGCTGGGAACAACATTCACATCTTCTGACGCCCAACCTAATGCTGCAAGCAGTGAATCACACTGAAGAACCATTCAAACAAGCCCGTGATTTGACTGTAGTCCATGAAAATCCCTTAGAAATTAGACAATATGCTAAAATGTGTGAGTGCCTATACACGTGCTCCAATGCATTCTAATTAAAACACTCCAGCGTGCCTCACCGTCATGTGTATTCAGCGCCCTGCATTTCAAAATGGTGGCGGAGGCACTTTAACTAAACCTCATTGAACAGCCTTTAGTTAAAGCACCCCCACAGCCATTTTGAAATGCGGGATGCTGAATACACGTGACGCTGCAGCGTTTTAATTAGAGCGGCTGTCACGGAGCCACTCTAATTAAAACGCCCCCCAGCCCGCAGCACGTGTATAGACACCGTATGCGACCACGTTCAATTATGTCCCATCTTTAAGATGCCTTTCTTACTGATCTGTAGCCAGTTGCCTTCATCCTCTCTCTTCTACTAAAATAATTCATCTTTGCCCCTCCTTGTTCTCCACTTTCCCCACAGCAGTTAGCCTGGTTTCTTCTTCACCGTGGAGCACGCCGCCTGAGCTGGTCTCTCAGACCATTTTCTCCTCTTTCAAACCCTTTCTCAAGACCCCGTGAGTGTTGCAATGATTAGTGAACAGCTCCAGAAGGCCTGGGAGGTGAGAAGTGCTATATAAAAGCTCAAGTATTCTTATTAAAACAGCTGTCATGGTTTCACATGCCAGCTGTGACTTATGTACAGGTTTACAGTCTATACAAGGAAAGATTAGCTTTAATTAGGCCTTAATTGTTCTCTGAAATTGGCTGCTCCTATGACAGAAAAGTTGCTGCAAGTCACAGAAGGATTTCTGAGGAGAATCAAAAGCCTTTAAAAAGTGTGAGAGGCTTGTAGAAAGAAGAGCTAGAAAAGACCAAATCTCAGTCATTGCCCAGCAGCTCCCGCTGTCTTCAGCTAAAGTTCTGGGTAGAGCGGCTGAAATATTGTAGTCCACAGAAAAAGTACTTTCCACAAATTGAAAATTTGGATTTTTCTGGGTTTTTTTCTGGAAGAAAAAAATGAAAAAGCCTATTCTAGTGAAGAGCGGGTAGACCCAAAGCAAAATAGCTTGGTTCACTGAACCAAGAATTCAATGGGTTTTTCCATTTGACACGAATCCGAGTCTGGTCCTGAGCTGCCACAATGCCTCAAGGGAGTTGTGGTCTAGACGCCTCATGTGCCCACTCTCGGGTACAGGGCAGACTCCTTGGTTGGATGGTATCTGCCATGATGCAGCGCGGCCCCCCTAGTGGCTGGGCCGCCACGGGGCAGAAGAGGAGCTCCAGGACTGCAGGCGAGCATGAGACAGCTGGCCCATGGACACCCAAGTCAACGCTCTGCTGTAGTGTAGGCACGATTCGAAACAAAAGGCATTTCAAGGTTTCAGAATCAAAATTGTCTCTGAACTTTTCTTTCCATGCAAAAACAATAAAGAAAAAACAAGGGTATTTCAGCTTTCCACCATAATACGGTTGAAAGTAATGGTGAAACAACAGAATTTCATGCAGACAGGAATTTCCAAGGTTCAAAAAGCACCAGGTTGGGGACTGAGGCCAACTGACAAGCAGACCCCTATGGTATTGAGTCTTCCATGTCAAGGACGGCTCCCTGCAAGGGATTCTCCAGTAAGACGTCTAATCAATTTTAAATGCCTCCAGCTGCAAAGCCTTCACTTCCCTGGGGGGCATCGTTCCACCGATCTCCCCCAAAGGCACGATTTCTAGGTAGCCAGCCTACAATTTCCTTTTCTTTATTTCATCTCTTCTCTCCTAATTAAACTCCCTTGCATTGCTTTACCTGATCCCGCTTCCTCGTGTTACTCACAAGGCATCCTAGAGCAGCTATTGAAACAAGTGTCTGCCCACAAGTGCATGGGTTATCACTATGACTGCGTATGCATGATGCCACTGCGTGTACGACAGTCTGCCCCAATACATATACATGGGAGGGCAGAATATTTATTTCATATCTCTTTTGGATTTGGAGCATGGGGCCTTATTAGTCTGGGAGGTGGCCAGATCGGGGTTTTTTTTCAAGTCACGTGCTTTCTGCTGCTGCGTTGATGTGCTCCTAAACCCAAAGCTCCAGAGAGATGCCTCTTTGCCCTAATAAACATGCTGTAGTCAGCACGAACTTTCCCTGATATGCTATCTTCATCAATTTTACCAACCCCCAGATGACTGCGCATGTTGCTGTCCCCATGCATCATGCTGAAACCTGCTTCTGAACCAGAGCAGAAAGAGGAATTTGTCATCAACTCTTCTGTTCGCTTGACAATAACACAGCCTAATATTTCATGAAAATGAAGTGCCCAGAGCACTCCTGATGGTTTACAGTTGTGATAAAGGATGGTCAGATGGATACTGTCAGCCATTAAACAGTTTGCAACTGCGGAGCTCAGGAAGAATTGCAAAGGCCTCTGGGCCCGTCTTGGTGTCAAATGCTGCGTCACTGATGTAAAGGATGTTGCTCTGAGCAATTCCTTACTGAGTAAAGAAGAAGCCCTTTTTGAGAGCATCTGACCTACATGCAAGATTTGCCGGTAATCTATGTTTGCTTTGAGACACCCGTACTGCTTGCTCTGCACCGTAAGAAAAGTCAAGCGTCATTTTTAAAGTTACCACCGTTGAAATAGTCAACCTTCCCTTTCCCTGGTCCCAGACGCAGCGCCAAGGAATCCGAGTCCCAAGCACCTCCATAATGCCTTACTCGATCAATCACGGAAACTCGGCCCCTGCACTTTGGGGGTCCCTTGGCTTGAAAGGAGCTTGCTAAGCCCTGCAAACTTTGATGCCTTGTTATCAGCTGCAGAGAAACGTGGAATGAATATTGGTCCCAAAGACAACGCAGAGCTGTCAGCGCTCTGTGTTGAGGCCAACCAGGCAGTTTGTGCCAAGAAGTTTTACCTGAGAGGTTGGGGAAGCTGGAGGCAACCCTTCAACTTCAGTCTTGACTTTGCTGCGCTTGTTAATTACTGGATTGACCGTGCTGCTCACAGCTGACTCACTGCTCTGCTTGCTCTAGGAAAGAGAAATCAGGGGAGATGTGCTGCTAGGGTTATGAATGAAAAATGAGGCCGTGCCGCTACTACCATCATAATCACAGCAAATTGGAGTGGAAAAGGAACTCTGAAATTGGCTCTGTGGATCGGCCCATCTGCGCAGGAGTTACGTGGAACGTAGACCTTATCTTGGCTATTTGTCCAGAGTCAATCTCCTACTGTGCGAGTATGCAAGGGGGAAAAAAAAAAGAGCCAGAGAAAAAATAAATAAAGGAAAGTTTGAAGACTGGGGGGGAAAAAAACCTATTTTGCATGTGACACTGGAGCTTTTTGTCTCTCAGCTGCTTCTTCAGTCTCAGAACTATCCAGACCCTGTTGTTCAAATCTCCCCCTCGCCCCTAAGAATAATCGATGATCCCCCCGCACCCACTCCAAACGAGAGGAAATATTTTATCCAATGTGTCATGGCGGGGTCCTTTAGGAGGGCCGTGATCTCCTTAAGGCCCTCTCCCCGTGCCAATTTGGCCCAAGGGCACCCTCTAATCTCGCCCGCCACGTCTTTGCTGTTAAATAAGGTTGGGAGGCTGCCTTGCGTCTCCTTGGGCACGTAAACTCCTGGACCCCTCGTGGGTCTTATCCTGCACCCCTGAGTGCCTTGGGGCACCCTAGCCTTATGGGCTACGCGTGGCTCCTACCACCCCTAATACCATGCCCCAAGCCTCGCTGATGGGATAGACGTTGTCCTGTCACAAATCAACTTGCCCGCTCTCCCGGGCCTCCTCTGTAATCTAGCCCACTCTGGGCTCTCTCTAATAGTGTTGTCCCGCTCAGGGACCCTTATTCCCTCTGGGAACTCGTATCGAGCCCTACGGTCTTTTAGGCCCACCGCGCTGCTAACCTCCCCCCTCCGGGCGCACCGTGCTGCTATCCCCTCTTGCCGGGGACCACCACCGCACCTTGCCCTTCTCCTGGGCTTTGTGCTGCTAACCCCTGT